GCACATCACTACCTTAAGCGCAAAAGACAAGGCGTATGACCATGTTGAATGGAATTTTTTGGAAGCTATCATATGTAGGCTGTGAGGACGGTGTCATGCTCCATTTCTTTCGATGGTATAGAGCTTGGGCCAGTGATTCCTAATAGGGGCCTTAGACAGGGTGATCCGTTATCTCCTTACCTTTTTATTCTTATTGCGGAGGGTCTTAGTGCTCGGTTGAGACATGAGGAAGCGGCGGGTAATCTGAATGGTGTTTGTGTGGCGAGAGGTGCTCCCCGGATCTCTCATTTGCTATTTGCAGATGATTATTTCCTATTCTTTAAAGCATCTCATGATGAATGTTCAATCAGCAAGACAGTTCTGGAAGATTATGAGAAAGCCTTTGGCCAGATTATTAATTATTCTAAATCCACTATTTTTTCAGTACCAATGTTAGCAGGGATCGATAGGAGGGGCTCAAGGAAATGTTGGGTGTTCAATTAATGAGTGTCGGGGCAAAATATCTCGGCCTCCCTTTGCTGGTAGGTCATAGCAAAAAAGATGTTTTTGCCTATATTAAGACGCCTTAACTGCTGGAATCATAAATTTCTATCTAGGGCTAGTCGAAAAGTCCTAATCAAAACGGTTCTTCAGGCCATGCCTATCTATGCAATGAACTGTGTGTATCAAAGATCAAATGAGAAATGCATTTCATATGTATCAACTGTGTGTATTCGCCAATCTAACAGATGCCATTAGTTTGTAGTTTGCACCGGAAGTCTTGTTTGCATGGGATCTTGCCTATATATATATATATATGCGTCTGGTGTGATTTGTTTAAGTTTGGTTTAGTTTAGTCTGATTTGTTTAAGTTCGCTCTAATCTGTTCTGATCTGGTCTGTGACTGAAAATAGTCCAAGTAAAACATCCTTAGAGCTCGTTTGGTAACACTGAAATTGAGTGAATCAACCGAAAATGCTGAAATTGGTGAAATTCTGTTTAAAATTGTTTAGCTTTTTGAATTTTGAAAAACATTATATTTCAAATATATTTTATTATTAAAATAAATAAATTATTAAAATAAATAAAAAAGAATTATGTTTGGTAAAGAATTATATATTTTGAAAAAAAAATATTAAAATAAATAAAAAAGAAGATGAAAATAAGTACAATAATCATGTTTGGTAAATAGTTTCAATCAATTCAACTAGGAAAGCAACTCTAACGTTACTTATTTTGTTTTTTTTACATAATTTAGTGCGTGTAATAAAAAATAACGTATTTGGTAAAAAATTGACTAATAATATTGATAAACGGAAAATAGATGTCACCAAGATCGCTCAATAACAAAACGGGTAACGTAAGATAATAAATTAATAAGTACAAACAAATATTACGAACGTCCCATTATATTGTATAATGTTAACTTTATATTAAGTGTGAAAAAAACGTGTGATTGAGTTTATGTTGACGACAGAAAAATAAAGTGAATAACAAATTCACTATTTAAAAAAAGTTGACAAAGTTGAATAGTGAACACACAACTACAAGTGATGTGGCTAATAACAAATTTCATATGAACAATTATGAGAAAATTACTCAAATTAGGATTAAAATTCATGAAACTCCCATAAATAGGATTAAACTTTTTGTTTTGCTTAAATAGGATTAAACATTACAATTCTAATACCTAGGAGAATTGTTACTAACTTGCTACCACCGGTTATGAGAAACACTGCCACCGGTTAGTTAATTAATATAACTAATTGATATTAGTTTCCTTGCATAATCATGATCAGTCCGTTAGTGGCAGTAGCTCGATGGTGGTGAATTCCAATGGAGGTGGTGACGGTCGGCATTATGTGAAGATATCAGAGGCAACACTTTTTCTTTTTTACCTTATCAGAGTATTTTTGTCCAATAAAAAATAAAAATGGTTTTTTTACAATATATTACTAAAATAAAACTTATTTACACATATATGACTACTATTTGATACGGAGTACAATGCAATGTCATAATAACTTAACTTTAAAAATTGAACATAAGTTATTATGCTTTCGTCACTAATCACAAATTTTAAAACAATCTTCATTTTAACAAAAAAAATGAAGCTGAACTTCCGAGTATTCGTGAGGCCCTTAGTTGGGTGAAAAAAAGGGATGGGATTGCGTTGAAGTCGATTCAGATGCTCTTCAAGCTATTTCAAAGATTAACACCGGCTCTAGCATCTCTTCGGTGGGTATTTTGGCGGAAGACATTCGAGTTATTAGTAGTGCCACCGTAGAGGGTTCACAAATATCACCTTCAATTTTATTAGACGATCAGTGAACAAAGTTGATCATGAGTTAGCTAGAGTAGCTAGTTCCGTGTCTGGTTGTCGTAAATATATTACTCCGTATATATTACTCCGTACCACCTTCCACAAAAGAAAAATACTGGAAGGTGCGCCTCAATAAGACGACTGCCAAACCATCTTTCTTTTTTTGTTTTCAGCCACCCTTGTCCCCGGAAAGTCCACCGGAAAAGTGATATTAGCGAAATCATTTTTGCAAAATAATTCAAACACATCTGAAAAATCCAAAATAAAAAAAAGGAGTATATTTATGTCGCGTTATTGGGGACCTCGTTTCAAAAAAATACGCCATCTTGAGGCTTTACCAGGGCTAACTAATAAAAAGCCTAGCGATATACGGGATCTTTGAAACCAATCATGTTCCGTGAAAAAAATCTCAATATCATATTCGCCTAGAAGAAAAACAAAAATTGCGTTTTCATTATGGTCTTACAGAACGTTAGTTAATTAACTACGTTCGGATTGCCGGAAAAGCCAAGGGGTCCACAGGGGAAGTTTTACTCCAATTACTTGAAATGCGTTTGGATACCATACTTTTTAGATTGAGTATGGCTTCTACTATTCCTGCAGCTCGTCAATTAGTTAACCATCGTCATATTTTAGTGAATGATCATATAGTCAATATGGTTTGATACATAAGAAATTCTCCGTTTGGTTTGATAGACTGCGGAAGGGGTTGACCAAAAATCCCGTCTTTTTTGAAAAATTCTGGAACACTCTCTTTTGCATCTTTTGAATCCGGAACACTCTGTTTTGAATCTCGAACATTTCTTTTTGAAAATTTTGAATCTTGAACACCGGTTTGGAGATCATCTTGACGAGGCGCACTTTTCGGTATTTTTCTTTTAATTTTCCGGGCACTTTTGAAAACCGGAGTTACTTTTAACGATCTTTTTCAGACATTTTTAACGGCGTGACCCTCTTGTGATGACATAATTCAAACACATGAACTACTTTGGTAAAGAATGAAACACATGACCCTATCTGAAAACGGGTACAATCACAAATGCCTTTTCCATACTTTTCTCTACATAACATATTGTAATTTTATTGAAAATCGCAAATTCTCTTAAATGAGCATTTATGCAACTTTGATGAACATCAATTCTGTTCTTTTGAGTATTAACAATCTAACAGTGAGCATCAATGATCTCTGTTTTATACCTTATACATAGTATATCACTATCTGTTTATTATTATTTTCGTTTAGTAAAGTCTTAAGTTATGTCTAAATTTCAATTGATTTTAATATATGAATCTAATGTAGTATGATATGTTGAAATGTGAAACCTTTTAGAATGAGCATAAAGCAATATCAAATGGGCATATATTACTTACAAAATGAGTATAAAAAAACCAAAAACTCATTTGTATATGTGCTCATTCGTTTTGGGCATTTTACTCATTTGAGTTTAATATAAAACTCATTTTCTAATGTGAATCTAATGTAGTATGAGAGCATCTATCTTTAATGCTACATTGTTAACATTGAATAAAATTTGACACATGGCAATCAATAAATGGAATGTCTTTCCACATCATATAAGAGTAATGCAAATAGACAGTTGAATCCAAAAAAGTGGTCCAATGCATTAGGTTAACATAACAGCCATATCGATGTTTAGGCGTAAAAGCATGTGGATTTTAAAATAAATAAATCAAAACCTCCCTATTATATTTAATCAAAGTTCTCCTGCAAGTGAATCTGACCCTTGCAAGTTCCGCTTCCGAGTGTGATTCCATGTTCGGCGATGAGTTCTAGATCCTTTATCAAATATTATTTTTTTCAAAGATAAAAAATTACGCAGTCAATAGTTTTGGTAGAAATAATGATCTTTCGATCAGTCGAAACCTTTGTGAAAAAGAATATGTCGTGGGACGTGGGTTGTGGGTGATTGTATTTCGTGCGTAAAGATTTTGATGGACGACAGGAGTTCCGATTTTTTTCTACATTGCAGTATTTTCTCGGCCAAAATTGCTGAGTCAGCATGTCAACAAGGATGTTATCTCAAAACAGTCAAAGTGACAGTGTCGACATTGATTTTTGACAAGTCAACTTTAACAGAGGTGCGTTGGAGACCTATATATTAGAAGCAATGTTAACGGTGATGATCTGTAATTTTTTTTAGCGTGAACAGACCCCCATTGGAGAAGCTCTGATATGTTTGAAATGTGCAACCTTTTAAATGAGTATAAAACAGTACCAAATGAGCATTCATAACTTCCAAAATGAGTAAAAAAATTCAAAAACTCATTTGTGTGTGATCATTCATTTTGGATGTTATACTCATTTGAATTTACCATGAAACTCATTTCTATTGTGCTCAATATAACATAAAACTTATGTTAATAATTAATAAGCTGAAAATATTAACACACAATATTACACTAAAAAACACAATATTTAAAATATAATACTACCTCCGTCTCTTAAAACTTTGTCAAGTTTGACTGACACGAGGATTAATAAAGTAAAAACTGTGTGGTAGAGGTTTGTGCAGAGAAGAGAGGATTAACAGGAACCACAAATTTTTTAATTAAAAGAGAAAGTGGCAAAATTAGTGGGACATCCAAAAAAGGAAAGTTGACAAAGTTATAAGGGACGGAGGGAGTATTAAAATACAATATAAATTTGTCAGGTTGTAGAACTAAAATAATTGAGCAAGAGACTTTACCCTTTGATAGCATTGGAGGCCCGACGTATTCTTCCGTCATCGGAAATCCGAGGGAGCAGCGAGCCAACAGCATCAGCATCGATCGGAACTCCAGGCTTCAGCCAGCGAGCAACATCGTATGGACCGGAGCCTCCTTCCCCAACTTCCAGGACTTGTAATTAATTGCAAAAACAATTAATTGTAATTAATTTGCCTCAGCCTTTCATCCAGCCTCAACAGTGGTTCAGTTGGCAACCATGAGCGCATGTAAAACCCTACTTCGTTCTCCATTATTCTGTAGACAATGCCAACCTGGAACCTTCACCTCCCCATTAAAGTTCCATTCTTTCTCTCCTTACGTCTTCAGACTCCCTCCTCCCTGTCGAAGGTCCTTCATCCTCTCCCCTGATTCAGGTACACAAACGCACTCTCAAAGTCATATCTTTTACATTCATTTGGTTCTGGTTTCTTGAAAATGAACCCTGTCTTACATGTTCATTACGGATTATTGATGAATTTATGTTAAAGAAAGTACTGATGGATATACTTCTTCCCTGACTAATTTCGAGTTTAGGTTATAGGGTTGAAGCTAGTAGTGAAATTGTAAGGCGTTATAGTTGCAGTGAAGCTGCAGTGTCACTAGAAACCGATGGTAGCACTGAAGAAATTTCAGCCCAGAAGAATAACCTTCAAGTTCCAGAAGACACTGTGGCCGGATTGCTTACAAAACCAAATGAAGTGTCCAGGCTTATGAAAATGGAGCGGAGGCTGGAAGGGGAGTGCAATGTTCAGTTGGAGCGTTGGTTTCCGTATTTGGATAAATTTAAAGCTGGAAGTGTGTATTTGAGCAGTAATGAGGTGTTGGAAGCTATTGATCCCTACCTAATGGAGGGGAGGAAGGAAAGGTTTCGAAAAGCTGTGAAGAACAGGACGTACTCTGTTTGTTTGGTGGTGGAGGGTTTAAGTGATTTTGGCAATGTGTCTGCTGCATTCCGTTCAGCAGATGCTCTTGGCTTTCAGTCTGTCCATGTCATTTCCCGCGACATCTCAAAAAGGTGCAAGGACACTTGAGGTGAAAATGCCCTTTGAGCTCTTCCGACATCAATGGGTTGATATTTCTTATCTATAATTTTCTCTATAGCTTTATTTGTACCTATGTTTGGTTCAGTATAGTTTGGTTTCATGAGTGAGATCAACTAAGTTGATTGTAAAATGGTTATAAAACCTTATGTTAATGCAACTATGCTAAACCAATTCAATTTATGTTAGCCGACCCCAAAATCTTTTGGGAATAAGGCTTGGATGTTGTTGTATTCAAAATTATTTCAAATTATAAGAGAATGCACTTCCTAACCAAAGTTGGCTCATAAAACTGGCATCTGCTGGATGCTCCTTCCGATTAAGATGGATGGTTATGCTTACTCTTTATATATATTTTATATATGCAGGTACAGGGACAATCGCCATGTCAGTATGGGGGCAGAGAAATGGTTGGATATTGAGCTCTGGAATTCTCCCCTTGAGTGCTTCAAAGTTTTGAAGTCGCGTGGTTATCGCATTACCACAACACATGTTGGAATGGATGTGGTACACTATTTACTTTGGAAACTGGAAAGAATTTTGCTTGGAGTAGCATTATGTTTCATATTTATTATTTATGTGATCGTGAACTTGTAATCATTATTGGTGCTCACCACTCACCAGGTCTCAATATATGATATGGACTGGTCTTGCCCAACTGCAATTGTTGTTGGCAATGAGAGTAGGTAATCCAAATCCCCTACTTGAGTGTACTTGATATATTTATTTGGGACCTTTACTATCAAAATACCATAGCTTTTTCTTTCATTGTTTCTTTGGATAAGGTTAGAATTGGTTCATTTCCAATTTTCCATTCCATTTTCCATAAAATACAATAATTATTTTACAAAGTTCTTTTTAATAAATTAAAAATAAAAATTAAAAATTATGTATAAAAATAATTTAATTAATACTCGTAATGAGTAATAGATTATAGTATAGTATACCAGACACAAACCTGAATTAGGAGCAGCTGAACCACATATGTTTCAAACAGAATGATTGGGCATGGTGCTGGACATTGAAACTAACAAAAGCTTTTTCATCAAATTCCCATGGAGACCTTCTTGATGAACTAACGAAGTTGAGTACCACTTGTTTAGTTGAATCACACACTTCATGTAGTTGCCAAGCTGTGGGAAATTTGGCATGGATGGTTATGGATAACACCTGCAAAAAGAATTTCTAAGGAACTTGATTTCCAAACTTCAGTCCAGTACTCTGGAGGTTGCTTCATAGCGACCCATTTTCTGATTAGTTCGACTGGAACAATGCTGAAACGGATCCAGAAAAATTAAGAAATACAGAGTATAATGGTGAAAGAGTGGTATTTGAGCTGAATCAAATTTATTTTTCTGAGGAAAAAATCTAGCAAGTCTTTTAGCTAGATTTAGAGTGGGTTTCCATTGCCCAAATGACCATTTTCATTTGACGTTTTTTAGAGTGAACCAAACACCGCAAAAGCTGGAAAACAACTATTGGAATTTTCAAGTTTCCAAAGTCTTATTTGTGTTTCTGTTGTGCTAAATTTTCATATTCTTTTTATTCTGAAAGACTGGAACATGAATTCTAAGATGCTCTCTATTCGGAAAATTTGTATTGTCTTGTCTTTAATAACCTATGGGTTGCTTTTCAAGTTTCTCAAATTTTACTGCAACTCAGTACATCAGTAAATGAAATTTTAATTGCAGGGGAATAAGTGATGATGCTCTTGGATTGTCAGATATGCACTGCAGTATTCCAATGAAAGGCATGGTGGACTCCTTCAATGTTTCAGTTGCTGCAGGAATTCTCATGCACCATGCTGTTTGTGACCGGACTTCCCGCATGGTAGGGGATTTATAATTTAATTAACTGCACTTCTTTGATTTGCTTTTCTGCCCCTTCTGAAATATTTTCTTTCAATTTTTTTCTTGCTTTCCCTTTTCTAAAGCAAGTCTTTTTAATAGTACTAATTAGTTAATATGATGGACTGAAAGTGACTATTTTTCCATACAAGTGGCCATTATTTATAAAGATTTGTAATTAGGTGCATGAGTAGTTGAGTGTGGCGATGTGTGGGAATACATGGTACATGTATTTAGGTGGGAGAATTAAGATACTTTAGTTTATTTTCGTTGCTTCTAGAGCTGCCATTGCAACTCTAGAAGTAATATTGTGCTCATTTATTCTTCTTAAAATTGGTGTCTGTAATCTGTATCAATGCCATTATAGTCTCTCTGAAAGACATTCAGGCAAGATGTGACTAATGAAATCCCAATTTATAGCTGTACATTATCTTTAGAACTTGTTGATGGTGTGGTTACATATTTTCTGTCGGTCCATAATAAAGTTTTTTATGTGACTCAGTTACAACTTAAGGAATGTTTGGCATAACTATTTCAAATGGTCTCTGCATGGTTTCTCCTGAAGGTGAAGCTTGTTTTGTTTACAGATTGATACTCAAAACTCGAGAATTACTTTTAACACAGAAGTAGTGACATTTTAATGTAGTTACTTGGGTTGCTTCTACTGACAGAGCTCACATTATCTTATATATTGTTTTTCATTTGGTGGGGGAAGGGATGCCACGGGGATCTAACGCCGGAAGAGAGGCAAACATTGCTAGCAGAATTCTCATTGCGCCACAGCGATAGTGCAATAAGCATTGCAAATGAATATGCAAAAAGAAAGATGAGTAGCTGACGCCAAGGCTTTGAATGATTTGATGTGGGTACTAGGCCATTTTTTCCTAGCCCTGCAATGCATAGCTAGTACTGACTATCTTCATGGCCTTACTTAATATTCGTTTTTCTTTTTTCCCCATATTTTAAGATGCAGAAATTTTGAAAAGATGCAATAATACTCGTGTATTGTCACTGCAATGTGTGATGCCTTTTTCATATATTTATGTGTTTGAGGCGCTGATTGGTGAACTCTCCAAATTTCCTCCTGTTTTAACGTCTTTAGATGGTTTAACAAGGCTCTTGCATTCTGATTCCAAGAAAACATCTAACTAATCTCGTTGGGAGGCCAATACATTTGGTCCAGGTTCACAACGAATCATAGGCTCAAGTGAGCCGGTACATTACTAATGCATAGTCTGTCAAAAGAGCCAATCTCCTCGAATGTCCGATTTGTATGTAGGATTATTATAAAACCAATTATCATGTTAATTAGTAACGGAATACGCTAAGGTGTGAAGTTATGTATTGAAATGCCATTCTATGTTACAAAATTCTCTAATCTTCCATTATCCAATGGAGAGACATGTCGGCCAGACACTGAATACCAAAGAGAATGCAGTGTATATTTGTATACTACAGGAAGCAGGGTAACATACACTACCTTTTCCATTCTTTTTTCTTCCAAAACTCTCCTCCCATTTCGTTAAGGAAAGATTTGTATGGTTGAGATTGTTTTTACCTTTTACATCAATCACAACCATACAATTTCATTTTTAAGCATGCCAAGTAAATTTTTGGGATAGAGGAAGTAAAGTGGAGAGCATTTGGCTCTTAAATCATGTAGCCTTTATACAAAAATGCAGGCCCCATATGCCACACAATACTCTACATGAACAAAGTGTGATGTTCAATCCTTCTTTCAACTTCTGATGACTGAGGTGTGAGTAAGGTGCTTGGATTTGCCGGACCGAAGATCAACTCCACACAGAATGTCGGGCCACATATCGACCTACCCTTGTTTCCAACTTTGTCCATTTCTCGCAGAGAAAGCTGAAAGTTTCAGTGTATGAATCAGATATAATTTGATCCTGCAGAAACTTTAAACTGAACCTTTTCTGCGTTGCAGGAATCACAACCACACACCTGTAACAGGCCGCTCTTAATAAAAGAAGTGTTGAAGCAGGCATAAAAGAGACGCCCTCCGATGAGCTTCTCGTAGAATATTATACGTACATCTCCTGCCACCTGTTTGATGAATAGACAGTATAATCAAAGTTACTGGATATGTGTCTGAACTTAGATATAGATTGAACCACACCGCTTTTAGTGCCGTGTCTCTCTTAGGGGTCAGCCTGGTCTTACTCTTGGTTCTGGAGCTGGACCATATCGGAACAGGACAGTATCCTTCTATGGTAAAAATTGGTTTCACCAAAGTAGGAGCAGACCAGAATGGTGCTGTTTTTTTTTGCATATAAGCTAATAAACTGGCCAAAACCGACTAGAGAATTGAAACCGGAGCAAGTACACCTGGTTCTGGTTCCTGTTCCACTCTTTATGGGACCAAAACGGGCTGATCCCGGAACTGGAACCAGAACCAGACAGAGTCCACCCATATAGGTGGGCAGGCAGGCTGGATATAATCTTACTTGCAAAGGATTTTCGTAGTAGTAGTCAAGGCAGGTCTTGTGGTAGAGAATGGAACTTTCTGTGTCCATTTGGATCACCAATCGCGGCTCCTTCTCTTCTGGTGGTTGATCCTCTTCCTCGAGGTACGAATAATAATACCTAGGGCTATTGGCTCTTTGAAGGCCACACTTGTTTCGTCTGCAACAACTCTTTGAGATTTCCACAGGCGGGGCATATCTCTCTCCTGGAATCTGTTTGTAATACATTAGATTGACACAATAATGCTGTTCTAAAAATGTGCAAGATAACAAATAAAACAGTTGAAATGAAAAGATAGCTACTGCAGGGAACATTATTTGTAGCATTCCTATATGTCGTCTAATTGTTGGGTGGTAAAACGTTATCCAACTTTTCACCACCCAATAAATGTACACCACCTAAGAATATGTTTAAATAAAGTACATACGGAGTATATAATGTCCAAGAGCCAGACTAGCTAAGAAACAACAGAAAACAACTTACATTTTGCAACTCGGAGACAACAAAAAAGATTGAATCAACATCTACTGTATCATATAACCGAATGCTCCTAAGCTCTCGAGCATACGGTTTACCCAGTTCCACACACCTAAGGGCACAACCAACTCTCTTAGAGGAGGAAAGAACCTTCTCCCAATAACCAACATAACGTCGCTGGCTTGGTATTGAAACCTGTTTAGCAAATAGGGTGGGTGATCCCAACTTCTTATGGTCTGATAAAATTAAGGACAGAAAGTAATAAGGAGATTTACTCCTTCATTGTTAGTGGTACGCTTCTCGGCATACACTTGAAGAGCTTCCTCTGCTGACATGCCTGTGTAAACCAGGTATGCACATACCATCATGCCTGTTCGACCTTTACCTGCCTGTATATTCCACAAGCAAAAAAATCACCATGCTTCGAATGAGTAAGAAGCATTATGGGATGAAGAAGCAAAGATCAATTCTCTACCAAGGATTGGTAATTGGGGTGGGCCTGGTTATAGACTTATAGTTCTAGAACCATACTGGACCTGCTGGACCGGTCAAATATTTGTCCAGAGCTGACAGGAAAAAAGTAGTTCTAGACCAAAACTAGAAACGGTCCAAATCCAGTCTGGCACAGGTTCAACCTTTATGTGACCCGGAACCTGGTCCACCCCTAGTCATAATTAACCGATGACGATCATTTAAAGAACATCATCTAACTATGATTTTTTTTTGTAGAAGCATTGATGTGTTTTACCATGCAGTGTATGACAGCAATGTTCTTTGGGTCACTTGACAGCCATGAATGCACATCTTCGCAAAAATCCTTGATCATTTGGAGAGTTGGGACATGGTTGTCATCAATTGGATACCTCTGAACGCGACCATAAAAATGTGCTGAATCATAACTTTGTTCTATACACAAGTTATAGACCTGCAAGCAACTCAGCCATTACAAAACAGAAAAAATACAAGTGAAAGAAAGGTGCAAAACATTTGTGACCTATGCACGACCACACGTTAATGTATGAAACAGGATACGTGAAACCGAAAAATCTCCAGACTTCATGCATTACATTTACATAAAAAAAATAAAAAAATGGAAACGAGCATACACATTTCACACCTTATAATGTCCATAATGCCTCATATCGAGAACCGATTTAACCTGCCATAAAGGATTCCTATACATAGCCCGCACGTGTTCTGCAGGAAACGACATTGCCAGAACTCTGTCGGTTATATAAGTCATGTCTAGATCATAGCCTCCGACGAGCAACCGCCTTCTCTTCTTCGAGACCAAGTTACGTATGTAACAATTTCGGAAGAGGTAATTGAGAAGCAGATTTTGTTGCTGGTGGAAGTAGCTGCTCTTCTTTGGCCCTTGTTTTGCAAGCCTTATCCCCATTGCAGGATGATGATTAACAGCTGGTGGGCTGGTGGATTGTGGAACTGATAATACAATAACCTTATAAAGGTTGAAACAAATCGAGGTTGCATGCTATTGAAAGAAAAATAAGAAAAGGTCCAAGAATCTTGATAATAATGTTTGATTCTTGGACCCTGTCAGACAACCTAATTCTCTATTTTGATTGCAATGAATGTTTTAAGGTGGCCACACCAAACAGATGATAACCTCCATCATATATTCATTTCCTTTATGCAGTAGTTTTTTTTGTTAATTTGCAAAGGATTTTCTACCACCGCAATTCTGAGAAAAACAAGGCAGACTTCATGGAGATGAATTTATTTAGCTAAAGCAAATACTTTGGATATACTGAGTACATTTAATGACTTAGTTACCTCCTTTGTGCCCCTAGCTATTAGCCTTCAACTTTTAAACAAAAATTCTTTAGCCCGAAAAAGTGACTGAAAATTTTTATTGACATAGGTATAAAGTGACTGAAAATTTTTAATTTTTTAAATCATACTCCCTCTGTCCCTTATAACTTTGCCAACTTTTCTTTTTTGGATGTCCCACTAACTTTGCCACTTTCCCTTTTAAGTAAAGAATTTGTGGTTCCAGATAATTCTCTCTCTTCTGCTCAAACCTCAACCACACAGTTTTTACTTTATTAATCCCCGTGCCGGTCAAACTTGGCAAAGTATTGAGGGACGGAGGGAGTAATTTCTTATCATTATTTTGAAAAAAATCAATTTTTTTGCAGCAACATTTTGTCATTTTTACAAATAATTTTATATTGTTGATCCAAGCATTTTAAAATGAACTACTCCCTCCATATTTTGAAGTTCTCTACATTAGGTTTGGGTACAACATTTAAGTAAGAAATAATCGGGGTAATGAATAGTACAGAAAAAGTAGGAGAGAAGATGTAAAAGTATGAAAGATAAGATAAAAAGTAGAAAAAATAAGGGTAATTGAATACTCCCTCCATATCACATATATCTTCCCCCTTCCAAAGTGGGTGAGATTAAGAATAGTGAAATGAGATATGAATTATTGAGGGTATAATGAGAAAATGGTGAAATAATGTGATAGAATGAAGGATAAATCCAAAAAAAGTAGGTGTAGTAGTGTATTATTTTTTAAATTATTGAGGGTATGATGAGAAGATTTTGATATGGGAAGATATAAATATTACGTCCAAAAAAGGAAAGTGAGAAGATATGAATGTTACGAGGGAGTATTTTTAAAGGAAAAAACTTACCAAAAAGGGAAATTGTAGCAAACTTTTAAGTACATCCAAAAAAGGAAAGTGTAGCAAACTTTAAAATAAGGAGGGAGTAGCATTTTGGCCATTTTCACTGTATAAGCACGTCAGATTTTTTTTAATCTTTATATATGCAATATTGGTGCCAAATGAAAGATAATAAAAAGTTATGAAATGTGGTATATCTTTTTTGTAAAAAATGGAGCAAATATATAAAAGCTGTAGTACTTCAAAGAAAAAAAAGTTTTCTTTTTTTACTTTGGGTCCCTTCCCTTTCTTTCATAACGTATGTTGCCTTCTTCTTTATTATGGGAAAGCCGCCACATGAGTTGGCCATTCTCATTAAGTATAATTAGGGCCAACGGGAAATACTTTTAACTCGACCTTAATTCCGTAAATATTTTTTCTTTAGCATTATTTTGGGGGAAAAATCGAACTTGAATGTATATCTTATTCAATGAGTGAATATTAAAGAGTTTCATTTTACATTTTTTTTAAAAATATTAACGCAAACAAAATATTTTAAGAATATTGGGTTCAATGTCTAAATATTACCATTTGATTCGTCACTGAAATTTAAAAGAGAAATAATTAAATAATTTATTTTAAATTTAAATATTTAATTATTCAAATACTCGAATATTCTTTAGTGATCAGGTCTTTGTTTTAGAGGTATTCGAATCTCCAAACTTTCGTTTTTCAGACTTTCAAATCCTCAAACCGTCGTTCTCTATATCTTCATATCTCAAAGGTTCATTATATTTTTGAATCTTTGGGTCTTCTTGAATGTACTATTCTGCTGGAAGGTTTTTGGTCTTTGAATGGCCTGATTTTAAACAAAAGAGCCATTTTATGACTTGATCTTCAATTAAAGGGCTTTTCGGGATACATGGTTTAATCTTCAATTGAATCTATATGCAATCTTGATAAGAACATCTTTAAATCTTAAAAGACTATTTCTTCAGATATTCAAATTTTCAAACCTTTGTTCTATACTTTGAATCTTCAAGTCTTCGTTCTTCATATCTCAGATTTATTTTATAAAAAACGGACGAAATGACAACGGATTCTTCACATGTTCTTAAAAAATTGTGATTTGATTTCTGCAAAGCTTCTCTAGAATTGTTTAGAGATTTTTTTTGCAGCGTTTCTTCGTCCAGAAGTTCACTGTACATTTCGTTTGACTGAGGCCGCACTTTATAGGTATGGATGGAATAAGATATACGTTAGGGTTCCAAACTTTCATCCAAGTCTCTTCATCTGGAATGAACTTTGGGCCCTATTTTTTTCTGTTTTCATAGCTAGAAAAACCAACACTTGTGTAATGTATCTGGACAACTTTCTTAAAAGATTTATAGCTATTTTCATGGAAATGGACAGATTTATTAATTAGATTTGTCACCCTCTTCATAAATTGGATCATGCTTCTTATATCAGTTAGGTGGAGTTACCAATGGTCAATAGTCTTTTGGTATTTCCATAATTTAAATATTATCTAGTTTCTTGTAACTTTCCATGCATCCTTAATTTATAAGATATAATGTTCATTTTTCCAACCAAAAACCTATGGTAGGTTAGTGATCTAGAATGTGAAAAGCTAAAGCACAATTTCAAACATATGGCATGAAAGCTACTAAATATAGAAAGTCATGCAGCAACAAAGTAATCATACATAATACATTTAAAGATAGTGAAACTTAGATGACAATAATCAAAAGAGTGCATTTTACTAAGATTTACTTACAATAATACTATATTGGAATATTGCAAAAAATGTTTTAATTTCATTTCTCCCTATACATTTATTGGAATGAAACAATATGTAATGACTCAAAACTAGTCTTGGAGAAGCTAAAGTGATAAATATGAAACATACAGGCAATACTCATATGCAATAAGGTACACATGTATGCAATATAAATGACTACTACTCAAGGTGGTCTCGTGGTCTAATTGATAAGAACATTGTGGCATACCGACGAAGGCGCATATCAATGTTGTCTCCAATATGTATCACATTATTTGCTACTTGTCCTCTTTTCCTCATTTTATAGCTACGCCATGCCAACTGCACATTAACGGCAGCCCAAGTCCTCCAGTTGGTAGAATAATACCTTGTTGTTCTCTTAAGCCTCTCGTTTGAAAATTGATATCGAAAGTGTTCGGTGATGAAGCGGATATGGCTGGCATCTAGGCCGAATGCTTCAACCGGCTTAATACAAGTAAATGTGGCTACAGACACTGGTAGCCTATCAATGAAGGGACGTCGAAGACACCATGATAAAAGCTCATCACCTAAGAAACCTCCTTGTTCAAGAGTACTTGTCGCTATCATACCTTTACTTAGATTTTGGCTGCTTTTTACATGACCTCGGACAATAAACACCATCTGTTGCACTAGATCTCCTTCTCTTATTATCTGTTCTCTTATCAATAAAATAAATCTAAATTATTTAACATTTCATAGTACACATTATTAATAAAAATATGTATCATAATTTTCAAATATTTTGCTGGTATGCTTATGTAGTTGTGTACATTCTCATCTTTGGAGAAGATTAGAGGCTTAATGCGGTCGCATATGTTGTCAAGAATGAGATCATCCAAACTGCTAAATAGAGGAACCTGAAATTGATAAGAAAATTGAAATCATAACTATTATAAAAAAAGACTATTTAAAGAGTGAGTGATATTCAACCATATATCATATGACTTGAAATTTTATCTTAACGTTTTAATTCGAGGGTAATTAAGTTTGAGAGTTTATATTTTAATTTGTATTTTATACTGGACCAATGTGAGATGCTAGCTACTGTGAAGACGAATAGTGATGAATGAAAACACAAACCATTAAGCTAGTTACATAAGTGGGGCATATAGAGTTTCTTAACATTTAATAAGCTCATGAAAACTTCTACAACATCCATATATAGAGACAATGATACCTTCTTTATGAGATCAAGGCACAAAAATCGTTTGATGTCACGACGAATACCTTCAGGCAGGTCTTTAATCGCTTCAATCTCATCTTCTCCGCCCATAGTCACCCATCTTTGGCGTTCAAAATGGTGCACTCTTTGCCTCAATTTCAAGGGAAGTTGTCTTCTCTTCATCCACCATTCTAGATCTCTACCCCTCAATTGCATTTTCCTCTTCCTCGCCATCACTAAATGTAAAAATACCTTTACACCATGAACTGTTAACGCGTGGAAGTACATAAAAAGATACATACATGACATTTGATAATTAAGTGGAATGAGAGCATTCTTATTACTCACCTGAATGTGTCCAACCAATAGGGTGAACAACATTAAACCCCAAATCACAATACAAATGCTAAAAACAACCTCCAACCAATTGCTTGTTGGTTCCAATATATTCCCAAATGTGCTGCATATACAAATAATGGAATTCACAAACACTTAAAGTTTCACAATAACATATAAATTTGAAATATACTATAAAACCCTGCAAATTGTTACCCTCATCTTTACAATTAGTATCTTTTTACTATTATATTAATTACTACATGTGTAATTTTATATAGTTAGTAATTACCTGAGACTAATGAGTCCCCAGAAGATGGGATACAGAATCTTGACAGCAACAGATTGACTAGAGACTACAGGTAGAGCCCATTCATATATACCATAACTAAATGGTCCATTCACATCTAAGCAAGATAGTGGGAGATGACATGGGCTTTGTAGATGACATTGTTTCCTTACACATGAAGAGACCCGTTGAATTGCAAGTACATACCAACACCCCCCTACTACCTATACATAAACATATGTTACCAAATTATGTAGAGTATTATGCTATAAATTTCTCTGCTAAGTATGTTTTTACTTGGACTGAAATTTGCTGGTCTGATCTGGTCAGTCTGTTCAAGTCTGGTCTGGTCTAGTCTGGTAAATGTCTGGTCTCTGTGTATTTTATAACTATGGAAGCCTGGTCTACTCTGAACTGGTCTGATCTTGTCCATTTAAGTCTGATCTGGTCTCGGACTAAAACAATCCAAGTAAAAACATCCTAACTCATATGGATCCTCACTTAGTCTCTAAGTTTTCCATAGAAACGTCTTTCCCCTCCACTTATAACCATCCATTTTCACTTATATCCATATAATACTAATTAGTTCTAGCTTAGGTATTATAGTTCCCAGTTACCCTCAAATGATGTCTAATGCTTTTTACAACAATGAAAAGAGAGAAAGAAGATATTCTTAATGAGTGGAGTATAATTGAAATTAATTACATGAGAAGCAATGAAGTAGGCTATGATATTGATGCCAAACCCCCACCAAATGGTGCCAAAGATGTAGCCAGTGATCTCTTCCATTCTTCTCATTAAGGATATGCTATGATAGACTCTTGGAAGGAAATTGAACAAAAAAATGAGTAAAAGAATTGTCATTATGAGCTTCACCTGCTCATCTCGTACCAATTCGGGTATCACCAACCAAAACAACACCTACATATGACAATCACACCAACATAATGTATTGAAGTATTATTTATAATTTTCAGCTTTTTTATTAGAAATAGTATTACTTAACTTCAGTTACTAGATACCAAAGCTAGCTTGATTAGTGTGACAAAGCTGATACGACAATGCATATATGCATTTATATAATAGAATACATGTAATTCAAATAGTTAATATTAGGAAGTATGTATGCAAAAATAACGTTGTCGTATATATAAACATAACTGCTGCTAGCACCAATAATCATATATTTATGAAAATTGATTGATAAAAGTGAGTTGTTCACAAAAAGTACATTTATGTTTTAGAAGGACGCACTCGTTTTGAAAAAACATGCACTGAAAAAAATTCTAGTTAGGACGCGTTTTCTTCGCAGCTAAAGTCACAATTAGGTTAATAAAACAGGTGAAGTAAACACACAAACTACTTAAAACGACGCTTACTAACTCAAACAAGTGCTTCAAGTGCCGCTTACTAATCATACCACCCAGCATTTATTAATTAAGCGACACCTCAAGATTTTCAGTTTCCTCATTTACCCCTACCCTTATCCCTTACTATTACCCCTTACCCTGCCCTACCTCTAACCTCTACCCAGACCTACCCCCACCCCACCCCACACATGTTCCCCTACCCCGACCATACCCCTAACCCCACACCCGTTCACTTACCCCGACCATACCCCTACCCCACCCGACCCGTTCCCCCGTACTCATACCCCTTACCCCGACCCCTGCACCTACCCTGCTACCCTCGACCCTGCCCCCATGGCCCTACCCTAACATCTACAATCCCTTACCCCACCCCATCAGCTAACCCCTACCTACACCACACCCACCCCTATCCGTTCTCCCGCAATCATACCCCTTACCCTTGCCCCTTACACTTATACGTCCCCTGTGACCCCCTACCCCACCCCTGCCCCGAACCCGTATCCCTACCCTTACCCCTAACCCTTAACTACTTATACCTTACCCCTATCCCCTACCCTACCCCACGTACCCCCTACCCCACCTGTACCCTTACCCCTACCCCATTCGCGTAATGTACTTTTAACCCACCTCATACCCTTTTAACCCCTATCCCACATTGGGGCTCGTTGTAGAGGGTAAAGGTACGATTAGGAAGTAGGGGTAGGGGTAGGGAAATGGTAAAGGGGTATGGTCAAGGTAGGGCTAGGGGTAGGGGTGGGGGTAGGGGTAGGGGTAGGGGTAGGGGTAGGTAAGGAGTGGTCAGGGCAGGGTTAGGGGGTAGGGGTACGACGTACGAGCACTGAGGGGTTGGAGTTGGGGGTTAGGGGCACGGTAATAGGGGTAGGGGGTAAGCCCCCATGTATTTTTATATATATACTACACTTGTGTACACATGAATGTTTGTGTGTTTATATATGTACAAGGTCATTTTTGGACATTTTAATGTTAAACGGTGTTTTAAATCTTGTGAACTAAACATGACCTTAAAGCATTATTTATTTTACGCTTCGCTCATTAACGCAAATCTTAATAAGCACCACTTAGTAACCGGTGAAGTAAACATGTTCTTAGGATTGAAAAATGATGTTTGTGCCCACCCTTATATCAACTTTTATACTCATCATGTTTGTGAAATGTTTATTTCTTCACTCTTAAACGGTGAAAGATAAAAATATATTTTCATTTTTGATGGGATGACTATATTCAATTGAATATTTTCAATTTAAATTAAAATTAAGTAATGGACAAAAGATATACTCCCTTAGTCCCACAAAATATTAATTTGTCAGTTTTTTTTCATTTAGCCTTTTAAAAAAAGATCACCGCTTTTATTTAAAATAATGAATATATGATTAAATTTTTTTTTTCTCTTCACAACTCATAATTAGATATCTTTTATTTTCTTATTCCATATGGAAGTCAAACCTCTAGAAATTTTATGGGATGCAATGACTAATGAGTATGTTTTAATATGCACTACCTACAATTCAACGATATTTTCATAGTGACTACTGACTATTTGGTGATTATAATTAAATTAATATCAGTAATGCGATCCTTTATATAGTTTCATTGCAAGTGATTACTGATTAGGTACTTAATTTTCCGCCTAACCATATAATAAGACCTCCCTCCCTCCCCACACATATATTGAGTACAGATCTACTGATCTAGTCAGACGCATCAAGCCAAACCCACTTGAGATTCGTAGTAGTGACATTATTAAATTTTGTGAGCCACAAAATTTCAGCTTAAAGTTTAATGGAAAAGTGGATTATAATCACAATCTGACAACACGATGAGAGGATGTAAATTGGATTATAATCACAATCTGACAGATAGAGAGTGGGGGTCTGTCCCCGGTACTTGCAGAGGCCCTATGCATTTTTCAGCATAGTAACCCCTCATCGCAACCTCTCATCGCAGTTGTCGGGATTCGAACCCAAGACCTAACCCTTGTGGCACTCTGTTGCTACCAGTTGAGCTACGCCCACCGGTAAGTCAGTTAAATTATTATTACTATTAGTAGAGTGCAGGGGCGGAGCTATTCAGCCGTGTATGTACGTAAATGACTGGACATGCGACACTTGGGAGAATAAATTTACAATAATTACCAATTTTGAATAATTGTAAACATGTTATGCCCGTATCATTGTGCACCTAGCTACAATAAAAAGACAACTTGCTTATAATAACGACATATCAAGAAATTTTGTCTGTTTTGACAAGAAATTTGGTGTATGATTTTGAATGAGACATATGTTTTAAGATCCAGCACACCAGATGAAGCTGTCTCTCCTATTCCGCTGTGTGAGCTTGTCCTATCGTCCGATAAAACGGCACTGGTCAACCTAATTTAAGATCTGTTTGCAACAACTTCTGCTTTTAAAAAAGTATTTTTTTTAATGAAATGAGGAGAAGTTATTAATAAAAGTTGATAGTGTTTGAAAAAAAAGTGATTTTGAAAAGTAAAAGTGGGTAGTGTTTGGTAAAATAAGTGTTTTTTGTGTAATTGAAAAAGTAAAAACACTTTTGACGCGGAAGCCGAGAAAAATAAAAGTTGTAGTGTTTGGGAAAATAAGTGATTTTTAAAGCCAAAAGGTGAGAAGTGCTTTTTTAAAAGCACTTGCAAACCAACCCTTAATCATAACTTGTCATTTACCCTTTATCTCATCATTAACCCACATTGAAATTTGCTGGTCTTATCTAGTTATGTTTATATCTCATTTAGTCCAGTCTGAACTAGTTTGGTAAATATTTGATCTCTATGTATTTTACAATTATGAACGTCTGGTCTGATCTGAATTGAACTGATCTGGTCTATTTAAGTATTCAAGTCTGGTATAGGCTGGGACTGAAAACTATCCAGATAAAAACATTCTTAAATTGTGTAAGGTTATTTGTTATCGGGACTAATTTAGTAAATAGCAAGCAATAGTAAATTTATTTGTTATCGGGACTAATCCAGATATAAAATAGCATTATATAAGATGGTGAATATCCCAAGCAATAGTAAATTTAGTGACCACAATTAACATTAAAAAAATACATTAAAGAATAGAGTACAGTTTTTTTTTTTGAATAGAGTACAGTTATTCGTCAGTTTAGTTATCACATTCGCTTGTTTTATTGGTTCGGTTTCAAAAAGGGTAAAATCCAGAATTGTACCACTTTTACGTACTTAGATCGGCTTTGGGCAGTTATTTTATGTTAGATTGGTTTTAAACTTTTAACACATTAGCTGAATACTTGTCTATTCGGTCAAATTTTAAAACCTAAACCATAAAATGTAAACCTCACCATGCATATGGTTGGGTCATAGTTGATTGGTCCGTTTCAATTTTATTCATTTCTATCTCAGTTGGTTTGTTGACGAGTTTAATTTTAATTTATCGGGGTTTTCCTCAACCAATGAGTACGTTAACTTGATATGTAGTAGGATTATCTCACATCAAATTTAAAAGAGTGTATATATATACTTTGTATCTATCTTTTGTTGTGAGGGATAATCTGAACTGCAAATCCTGTCAACATGTTGTCGTGCTCTATATATTTAATAGTTTAAATATACTCTCTCTGTCCCTTATAACTTTGCCAACTTTCCTTTTTTGGATGTCACATTAACTTTGCCACTTTCCAATTTAAGTAAAGAATTTGTGGTTCCACTTAAATCTCTCTCCTCTGCACAAACCTCAACCACACAGTTTTTACTTTATTAATCCACGTGCCGGTCAAATTTGGCAAAGTTATTAGAGACGGAGGGAGTAATGAAGTATGGACTCACCTGAGGAATAGGGAGGATCACGAAAGCGTCGAACCAGAAGCCATTCGATGATCGGACGTAGTGGGAGGCAATAGCACGTGCATCCCAAACGAGTTTCCCGCTACCGATCACCAGCGACTCCCTAGACACATAAGCCAGCCGGAACTGCCGCCACATGTGGCAAATGTGCACGGCGTCGACGCATGTTCGGAGGGCCGTGACAATTGCAACCAAGACACTATCCATGTGCATGTCGGGTGAGCCCTCACGACCGATGGATAAGGCGTAGACGAAGAGGGGATCGATGGCCAAGGCCACGCCGCGTGCCAACAAGAACACGCGGTTCCACCTCTGCACCCTCTTCCTACGTGGGTCCAATACTCGCCCGAACGGCCCTGACCTGTGGCCGTTTCGAGCCATGACACCCACGGAGGAACCGGGCTTGTACTTGATGGGGATCAGCGATGAACCGGCAGAAGCCTCCCAGTCGGGCTGGTTTGCGTTGTCGCAACTAGTGGAGTGGAAAACCGGAACCCCAACTTGTGTACAAGCATAACACTCGGTTGTAGGGTTCTCACCATAATTGTGGCTTCCTTTGTTTGGTTGAACCGATTTACCAAACCAACTACAAACAAACATACACAATCTGTTACGTATAACAAAAAACAATCTTTAAGAGTATGTATGCAAATAAGAAAATCAATTAAGTGAGACCTTGAGAAGGGGAAATGGAGGCTGGGATAAGAAGGCATCTTGTGAGGGAATGATGCGAGAGAGAATCAAGGATGATGTATATATACAGAAATACATATGTTTGGGCAAATTATAGCGTTGAATATATATTGAGGTAGTACGTACACTCTTGGTATGTCCATCAATACGGAAATACGGTAAAGATGGGCTGATGACAGGACAAATCTCAGGTGAGAGTCTAGTAAAAAAAAGTTCAGATAAAATGAAATACCAAGTACTACTATATCTCAAAAATTTCAAATCAGAGACATTTAAATTACCCAATAAAAACGCTTTCTTTATAAAATTTCTATTGGGAATAATAAAATTTATCATTTTGGCCAAGTGATTTATTACATTTGCTTCTCACTTAACTTAATTTACATAAGGATATATATATTTCAATCCTATGATCCAAGTTTACGTTTAGGCTTTTTAAAAGTACGGAGTATTTCTTATGCATATTGAAAATATGTTAATTGAGTTTGATTATATTAATTGTCTACATTAAAGGTCTAATCCGAAGTGTTTTCTTTTAGTATCAGATCCTATTCATCAACTCATTCATGCATAGTCTTCCAACTTATACTCCATATTACAGTCAGATTGTTTAATAGTTAACCAAACTAAATTGAGTAGGCACAAAAACTATAGCAAACCCACCCAACCCACCCAACCAGCCCGTATGCTGTCATTGCTGTGTATATATTACTAAGGTGAATGGTGTCGTTATTTTTATTGTATTCCTTAATGTATCTCGTGCTTGTTGGCAAATGATAGAATAATACTTGGTCAATTTGGCCTTTTGGGTCAAAGATAATAAACCTTAGATAATAAAGCATAACTTTTATACTTTTACCAAAAAAAAAATTATTAATAAAGAATATTTTCATATTCTTTTATATTTTAAATAATTTTGTATTAAGGTGATCCTAAAATCTTTTGAGACTAAGACTTAAACGTGGTTGTAAATAATTTTGTACGAAATACTAAAAGATATCATTGATTAAACTTCATCACCATATATCAAAAAAGTACAATATAACCAAATTTTATGAGACGTGAGGGTATGACCTAGACTGGTGGTTTCATTTAAAAAAATGCAAGACCAAAATTTGACGTGTCCTGTACCAAAAAAATTGGATCTTTTTTTATGGGTGAAATTCATAGAAATAATTCCAACCTTTAAGGATTCTATAATAATAATCCCTACTTAGACAGTCCACAAAATTAATTGAAACTAGCAAAGATAGATGTTCATGGAAATAAATTGAGGTGAATTCAAATAATGTCCGTTTAATACTCTTAATACTTACTCCCACTTTTCTCCCCTTGACTCCTCTTTTCGGTACAAATTCAAAGTAAAACTGATTTAATATCAACATCATTTCACATATGTGGTTCTCTCTAGTTTGAAACATAAAAGTATAAATCGAGACGGAGAAAAGTATGGATCGAACTACATAATTATACAAAGACTAAATACAATAAGAAGACCACTAATGGAAATACTTTAACCGCAAGAATATGTAGCATGACCAGCGTACAATAAAAAAGTGAATGAGAAAGTGGAGGTAGGCGTTGAGAGTATTAAATAAACATTAATTTGATTTTATTCTAATTTATTCTTATGGCCACTAATTCTTTTATGGATATTCTCAATAGGAATAATTATTGTAGAATTCATTATGGATTATTGTCGTGAACAATATAGTGCGATCAATGAAATAATGAACAAGTACTAACTCCGTATTTTGTTTTCTTTCAGATGTACGTTGTATTTCGAAACATAGTACTCCGTACTATTTTGTTTATTGATGCGACAAATTTGTAGTGTTCTCAAGTAATCAAAAATTTTAACAAACCTTTATCCCTCTATGCCAGCAGAGCATTTCGTGGCTGCTGACGTATTTTCCCTTAATCAATGCCAATTAGCATGACGTTTCAAGGTTAAAAGATTAAAGAGTATATATGAGTTCTTGCCATTTCAGCTCCCTCAGACTATTATGTCGGGGACATTTTTGGTTATCTAACTTTTAATTTTTTTTAATCCTTGATTATTATGCGAGATATATTTTTAGTCTTCAACTTCAAAATTTCTCTCGTTTGTTCATCTGAGTATTATCAAATTGAAAACTTTAGTCATTCCACTATAATTCCGACGGGATGACTAAAAATGTCACAATTATAGTAGTTGAAGGATAAAAATGCCACTTTTATGAAAGTCGAAGGACTAAATATGAAAATTGTCAAGGACAGATACGAAAAATGTCTTTCACACAATGATCGAAGGCTTAAAAGTGAAAAACTCAAAGTCGAATATCAAAAGTGTCAGTGACACAATAATCAGTGGACTAAATGTGGCAAAAGCTCCTAAGTATCTCATCACCAACTTTTATCATTTTATGTAAAAAATAAAACGAGAAACCTTATAGTGGTACATATATACGAGTAAAAACTTTCTCAATTCTAAAATATAAATATCGTGATTTTATTTCTTAAATAAGAATAATCATTGTCATGCTTTAGCATCATCTGATTTTAAACATGACAATATTTTACAAACTTGACAGTGATGACTTCTATTTAGGGAATACAAACATGATAATCCTAATTTGGAATTCTAACACGTTCTTAGAATGTTTTTACTTGGATTGAAATTTGCTGGTCTGGTCTGTTTAAGTTTGGTCTGGTCTGGTAAATGTCTGGTCTCTATGTATTCTATAACTATGAAAGTCTAGTCTGATTTGGTCTGGTTTGGTTTGTTGAAGTCTTGTCTGGTCTGATCTGGAACTGAAAAAAGTCCAAGTAAAAACATCCTTACTCCTATTTTGAGAATTTTCCCAAATAAAATAACCTCTTCCCATTACATCGCATACCATGTAGTTAGCATTTAATTTATGAAAAAGTAAATTCTTTAAATAGGATTAAAACAAGAAGATAGTTTATAAACGTGATTATTATTGTTTTATTCCTAAAATATGGCTCATTCACTCATACTTTGAGAAGTTTTAATCTATTTATTCTTTTAATAGGACTAAATGAATCATGTTTGTGGAATAAAACATATTTAATCCTACTTTTGACTTTTTTTATGTTTGATTCTATATTGAACAAAATCTATTTATAAAAATGATAGTATAAACCAATTCAAATTGCTTGAAACTCAATAACATTTAGGGAGACACCGTGTAATTTAACCAAGCATTCCAGCCCAACTGGTTGTGAGGTTACTGTGTCTAGTAAAGGTCTTGAGTTCAAAACCCGCTAGGCACATAAGGGTTTGAAACTCAATGGAGTGAGTTTCAGTCCTGATTACTCCAGGCTCCCCCAGCCCCCCTCCCCCAAACCCCCTGGAGTAAAAAAAAACAAAAAAAACAAAAAAAGGCACCGTGTAATTCATGTATCATGGCTGAGTACGTATTTATTATAGGGAAAAGTACGGAAAAGATACTTGTGGTTGAGCCCGTTTTCAGATAGGGTCATGTGTTCTATTCTTTATCAAAGTGGTTCATGTGTTTCAAAATTCCGTTATCACAAGAGGGTCACGCAGTTAAAACGTCTGAAAAAGACCATTAAAACTAACTCCGATTTTCAAAAGTGTCCGAAAAAATAAAAGAAAAATATCGGAATGTGCGCCTCAATAAGACGACTGTTGGGCCATCTTTCTTTTTTGTTTTCAGTCACCCTTGTCACCGGAAAGTCCACCAGAAAAGTGATATTAGAGAAATCTTTTTAAAAAAATAATTCAAATAGATCTAAAAATCCAAAGACGAAGGTGGTTTGGAGGTCATCTTGACGAGGCGCACCTTTCGGTATTTTTCTTTTAATTATCCAGGCACTTTTGAAAATCGGAGATACTTTTAATGGTCTTTTTCTGACGTTTTTAACGGTGTGACCCTCTTGTTATAACGGAATTCAAACACATGAACCACTTTGATACAGAGTAAAAACACATGATCCTATCTGAAAATTGACTCAATCACAAGTACCTTTTTAGTACTTTTCCCTTTATAATACTAATGATAATTACAAAGCAAATCCAAAAGACATAGATTATTACTCGCTTTTATTCGAAGATTTTACATGTAAATTGGATTTTAAAAAGTGAACCATTCAGCTGTGCAATTCTATGTACAAAATATTTACTAGCTGAAATAGGTACTAGTATGTAAGGAACCTCTATATCTCCATGAGCATAAATGATTAAAAATAATCATACGGACAACTATCGTGTGTGAGCCACAATTATTGCTTATATGATAAATATATCTGAAAAGTCCACACTTTGATCATGTAAAATGATTGTGTGTGCACAAACAATTATTGTCTGTGCAGACGAGCAGTGTACATACAAAGTTTAGTTCACACGAAAATTAATGTTTGTGGACACGAAAAACAGTTATGTGTACATATAACCGTTGTTTATATGTGGTTATAGACAACTCCATGTGTCATAGTGTCAGACTGTCAGCACACTAATTATCATGACATTTGTACGTAAATTCTCTATGTCCCATTTATATTGTCCCGTTATACCTGTTGAGGTTTATTCCTTCAACCCTTGGACCCAACACGTAAGCCCAAAGATTTCGAGTGGAGTGAGTGTATGAATATCTAGCCCAACAACTATCAGATGGATCAGGAAACACAAGAGGTAGCAGGCAATGTAAATAGGTATTATTAACTTCGTAATAACTCCCCTAAGTACAATCTACTTGCTAAAAAAGGCACGTCGGCCGTTCGTCTTACAAGGCAGTTAGAAATGCTGCGAGTAAGAATACTGAAGCTAGTATGCTAAGAATAGAGAGTTGCCAACCCTTTACAATGAAATAAATGCTTCTATTTATACCCGCCAATGGGCAGATAGCTATGCTGACGTGGAAGCCTGTGGACCGCTTGTGTCCCAACCACCAAATCTTCAGCATTAAATGCACTTCCCGCCAGAATCTAGGTTTCCCGCCGGATCAGTGGGGACGTTCGTCCACCCGGGAAGTGAGTTGGATCGCTCCAAGTGACCCTCGAAAGATATTGGCTGTTCGTCTCCTGGCCTTAATAGATACTCACCATGTGG